CTCCTCCTCCTCCTCCTCCTCTTCCTCCTCCTCCTCCTCCTCCATTCCTTCTCCTTATTGTTTAGAACGGGCCGGGCGTTTCGCCTGAGACCCCCTCACCAAATATGACCCGGAAGCTAAAAAAGGGACAATAGTTTCACAGATGGAAGGCGGGTCGCTTACAAAATGTGGCTCTCGCCTTAGCGCCGCGCACATTCGCTTTAGAATTCTGCAAGGGCTTCACGGATCAAGGGGGGGTGGTTTTCGAAATGTGGCTTTCGCCTTAGCGCCGCGCACATTCGTTTTAACGACTTGCAAGAGCCTCACGGGTTGAGGGCGGATGGTCTTGACATGTGGTTCTCGCCTTAGCGCCGCGCACATTCGTTTAAACAAATTGCACGAGCTTCACGGATTGGCGGAGGTTTTTTTGAAAATGTACTTTTCGCCTGAACGCCGCGCACATTCGTTCTAAAAAAAAGGATTGAAGGCGGGTGGTTTTCAACATGTGGCTCTCGCCTTTGCGCCGCGCACACTCGCTTTAAAAGTGTGCAAGGGCTTCACGGATTGAGGGCGGTTCCTTTTCAAAATGTAGCTCTCGCCTTAGCGCCGCGCACATTCGTTTTAAACATGTCCAAGAGTTTCACGGATTGAGGGCGGTTCCTTTTCAAAATGTGGCTCTCGCATTTGCGACGCTCACCTTCGTTTTTTTAATTGCAAGAATGCCACGGACTCCCATGATCAACGTACCAGAAATAGTATTGACGAAAGATTCAGGATTATGCGGGTGCAACGGTTATTTTGATTCACTGTGTTGAAGTCCCGGAAAAAAGCCTTCTGGCACGACTCTGGATCGTCAAGACTCAGCAGTCAGGTTGATACGTGGCGTTGAAATCCCGAGAACAATGGTTTGGCACGCTTCAGGATCTTCAAACTGTTGTCTTCCAACGAGGCAGTTCCCTCAATGGAAATGAACCGTTGTATGGGGCCTATGAAGAGGGGGCTTGGAGGGAGGGTTAATTCCAACATCGTTGCTGACTCTTGGGTTTCCACTGGTCCTCCTCCTCCTCCTTGTCCTCTTTTTCCTCCTCCACCTCCTCCTCCTCTTCCTCCTCCTCCTCCGCCTCCTCCTCCTCCTCCTCCTCCACCTCCTCCCCACATGGTTCCTCTTCTCTCTTCCCTCCTCCCTCCTTCCTCCCTCCTCCCCTCACCCCCTCCTCCCCTCCGCCCTCCTGGAGGAAGGAGGAGGGAGGACGGGAGGAGGCGAGGAGGGAAGAGGCGAGGAGGGAGGAGGGGAGGGAGAAGGGGAGGGGGGAGGGGAGGAGGGGAGGAGACGAGGAGAAAGGAGGGGAGTAGGGGGAGACAGGGGAGGACGGAGAAGGGAGGAGGAGATCGAGTGCCCACAGGCCGAAAAGCAATTACAAAAAGCCTGTCTCCGATACTGGAGAGCCAGGAGCCGAGCGCGATGGCATGAAACCGTCAGCACGATCAACCGTAGCGAGCTAATGTTCAAGAGCTTTCTGAGCAGCGAACGACGAGAGCGGAAATAGGTGCAACGATAGTCGAGCCCACCGCCTCCAATGACTAAATCAGGCCCACGACATCCGCGTCATGCTCAAGATCAAAATATACCTGGGATCGGAAGGATCGTCAACCACGAGTTTGAATCGAAGCGTCAGGCCTTTCCCGAGGTAGAACTGCAAAGGCGCTCCACCTTTACGCGCAGCAACGAAGAACACAGGAATGTTTAAAGGCAATCCTCTCAAATGGGGCATGTGACAGCAGCGCAGTTGCTCTAAAGGGCTGCACTCCCTCTGTCTGTCTCTCTCTCTCTCTCTCGCTCTCTCTCCCGCTCTCCAGATACTGGTCTTCCACAGCGCAACTTGGGAGAGAAGAATGCGGAAAAAGAAGGGGGTGATAATCGCGACTCGCATCACGCAGACGCGCAATCCGTGGAAAAGATCCGCATCACAGAAACCAGGCCGCGTCCCAAAGGCATTCCACACTGGCTCGACAGCGTCACCCTCAGAATGCGAAGGAGGAGAGAGGAGGATGAGGATGAGCGACAGTGACTTATGCTTGTTGTCATGTTGTGTCTTGCAAGACACCGCCTGTCTCACGACACCGGCTGCCGAGAGCACACACACAGCCTCCCTCTGCCTGGCAGGCGATGAGGAGGAATGACTATACCTCATGGGGGACGCGTGCCAAGGATGGTAAAGAGGAAGAGTAGGAGGAGAACGACGAGGAGGACAAATAATGAAAGAGAACAGGGACTACACTCGCCAGCAATAACCCAAAATTCTAGAACACCGACCCCCGCTCACACTCCAGGTATGTCTTAGGTTCACGTATGTTTAACATGAGCGATTGCGCATGGCAGAACAATAGAACACGAAGAAACAAATAGCAAAACCGAACCAAACAAAACAAAAATGGAGCACGCGGAGGGTATGGGGCGGGGGCGTTTACCGGGACCTCGATTCGGTTGTATGTTCAAGGTGAGTTGAGGAAAAGGAGTCCACGGAATGTACACGATGTTATGCAAGAAAGGTGACGCAAGCTTTGTAATGCTATATGTGGATGATCGGCACCTGCGTAGCACACCGCATCTATCCTAGGTGATCCATGGGCCCCCTCCTCCTCCTCCTCCTCCTCCTCCTCCTCCTCCTCCTCCACCCCTTACTCCTGCTCAAGATCCCTCCTCCTCCTCCTCCTCCTCCTCCTCCTCCTCAAGCACATGTGGCTCCGTCCCATCCGTAGGCCCCCTTTTTTTGGCTTATCGCTGGGTCATGGCCGCGCCCTGCGCCTCCGCGTGGCGCTTGAGGGACTTCAAGGCTGTCCGCACATCTGGCGGTTCTTTTCTTGACGACGAAGCAGGGCAAATCAAAGTGCATAGTGTGCTACGGGAGGTCGGCCCTCGGATGGCTGGCCAGACGCCACGCAGGCGGTCGCACGCCGAGCGGCGGGCCGCTCAACGGCGCGCTCGCGATTCTTGCGAACGTGGGCTGCTGCAGGCACTGCGCGGCCAGGCCGCTTTTTCCGTCACCGGCAAGCCGCTGCACCCGATGGTGACCACGCTGCTGCACAGCGGGGAGACGGGACCAGCCCTGGACATGTCGAAGGGCAACGTGTGGTACTCCCCAGTCTTGGAGCGCTCCTTGGGCAAGGCATGCGCGGCGGAGGTGAGCGACGCCCTGGGCCTGCACGCGGACGCGGATGTCTTCGATCCTGCCGCAGGGTATTGGGAGCAGCTGCCCGCGCCAGGAGCGCTTTGCACCTGCGGCGGCGCTTGTTTTTACAGGCTGCAGGAGACGACAATTCAGTTTGCCAGATTGGCTGGTCAATGCGCGGACATGTATTTCCAAGAATCAAGTCAGAAGACAAGTTTCCAATAATGCCGATGGGCCAGGGGGCACAGGTCTACAAGGCCCCTTGGGCGCCGTGGCCGCGCGCCGCGCAGGCGAAAGGGGCACTGATCATCAAGACCCCTCGGACGCCGTGGCCGCGCGCCGCACTGGAGAAAGGGGCACTGATCATCAAGACCCCTCGGGCGCATCGGCCGAGCGCCGCTCAGCAGGAGCAGCGTGGTGGGAAGCTCGTGCTCTTGTCTCTCGTGCCTGGCTTGCAGATCCAGCCCCTGTTAAGGGCGCTGCCGAACAGCCGCAGGTGCCGACCGAGAGGGACACCGTGGCGGTTCGGCCTGCGACACCTGCTTCAAGCTGGGAGTCCTGCGAACGCCGTGCGAGACTTCTACGAGATGCTGATATCTTTCGCGGTGGGCCGTCAACCTCGTTCATCCCCAGTGGCACGGATGTGATTGATTGGTCCAGTGCTGCCCATCAGAACGAAGAGCAAGACTGCAAACAAATGTGAGTTTATCAGTGCATTTGGTGTTTCACACGATTGTGAACCTTTTACTTATTCGATTGCAACCATCCACGTACCTTGTTCTGGCTGTATTGCGAGAAGGAGGGCAATTTCTGCACGCACGCTGTTTTCTGTATCTGATGTGAGGTACTCATGCGTAGCGTCCTGTTCCTCGTGTTTCTCGGTCCAATATGCCAGTTCTGGGGCGTGGTGTCCACCTACCACGGCGACCTCATGTGCTTCCCGTACCTCGCGTGCCTGGAGAAGCTCAGGGGTGGCGGCAGGTGCTATAATCATATCGCTACGCCATCAGGCAGAGTCTCCAGAGTCTCCAGAGTCTCCTCCTCCTCCTCCTCCTCCTCCTCCTCCTCCTCCTCCTTCTCCTACTCCTGCCTTATAGTTCGTGTCCTGCGTCCTCCTCCTCCCCCTCCTCTCCCATTCAATCCCCTTATAGTTAACTCCTCCCTGTCGCACCCCGAGGCTAGTTTCTAGGGCGGGCGAGGCGTTTCGCCTGAGATTTCCTCACCACTTATGCCTCTGAGGCGTACAAGGTGACACCACCTTCACAGATGGAGGGCAGGTGATTCTCAAAATGTGGTTCTCACTTTTGCGCCGCGCACACTCGCTTTAAACATTTCCAAAAGTTTCACGGATTGAGGGCGGGTGGTTTTCAAAATGTGGTTCTCGCCTGTGCGCCGCGCACACTTATTGTAAACATTTGCAAGAGCTTCACGGACTGAGGGCGGGTGGTTTTCA